ATGTTCATTTGTGTGGTAGCATGTATTTGTATTTCATTCTTAAATTTTTTAAAAAATTTGTTGTCTATTTTATTTTATTTTAAAATTTTTTTAAAATTATTTTTCAACTACAGTATTCTTTCTTTTACTCCCATCCCAGCCCACCCGCCCCGTGCCCCCCACCTCCCTTCCCTTTCCACCCCCCTTAGTTGTTGTCCATGTGTCCTTTATGCTAGTTCCTGTACATCCTTCCCCTTGTTGTTTATTTTAGAGAGAGAGAAGAAAGGAGAGAGAAAAACACATCAGTTTGTTGTTCCACTTATTCGTGCATTAATTGGTTGTTTCTCATATGTGCCCCGGCTAAAGGCCGAACTCACTATCGCGGCGTTTTGGGACAATGCTCTAACCAACTGAGTTACCGAGCCAGGGCTATTTCATTCTTTTTATGGCTGAACAACATTCCACTGTATGGATATACTACATTTTGTTTATCGATTACATTGATTTTTAAAAGTTGTAAGAAGGAAAAAAAAACTGTCTATCTTTGTTTAGTGATTCTGCACTCTCCCTGCAGCAACGCTTGCTAACATCTTACAGAAGAACGAACTCTCTGGGAAATACTGCGGGAACTGTCTCACAGTCACCAGGGTCAGGCTTAAGGGAAGAGGGGCCACGTAATGGTAAGTACATGCAATAGCTCTCCACAGGGGGCACACTGTTTGCTTATTCTTTCAAGTCTGTGCTTTAATTTTGTTTTTAAGATTTTATTTATTTTTAGACAGAGGGAAAGGGAGGGAGAAAGAGAGGGAAACATCAATGTGTGGTTGCCTCTCATGCGCTCCCTACTGGGGACCTGGCTGGAAACCCAAGTGGGGAATCGGAACTATGACCCTTTGGTTCGCAGGCGGGCGCTCAATCCACTGAGCCACGCCAGTCAGGGCTGTGCTTTAATTTTTAAAAACCATACCAGCTGTTCCATTTTCTCCTTGGAAGACCCAACAGGAGAGTTTAATACCCCCTTCCCATTTTCTTTACCCAGTTTCTATGTCTTTGCCAGTCCTCCCATGCATGGTAAATGCTGTTGGTGACCTCCCTTTACAGGGTTGGCACCCCGTTTTCCTTATGTTGGCTGCTAATGGCTCACAGCTTCACCCTTCTCCAGAGAATGGTCTTCAGTCCACATAGTTCCTGTTTCACTCAGAAATGCCTAGCAAATTATGAAGTTGCTCTGTTTCCCACCTCCCAGTGGCCTACAGCCCATACATCTCCCTTGCTTTTGAGGGGGATAAACCTTATGGTGCATTATATATGTTCCAGAGCTCACTGTAGGATCAGACTGAGGCAACGCTTAGAACAGGGGTGTCAAACTCATTTTCACCAGGGGCCACATCCGCCTTGCGGTTGCCTTCAGAGGGCCAAATGTAGTTTCAGGACTGTTTAAATGTAACTGCTCTTTAACAGTTAAGCAAGAGCTTGGCACTGCCACCGGGTAGAAACTAGGTGCCAGGATGGATAAAACAAGGTGGTGAACCAGATTCAGCCCATAGGCCTTGTGTTTGCCACCTGTGACTTAGATGAAGCCACATCTTTGCTTGGCTTCTTCCTCTGCTCTATCCTGCTTTCCTCTGCTCTAAATCATTTGCATTGGAATCCCTGTCTCAGGCTTTGTATCTAGGGAACCCAATCTAAGATATCCCTGCGGGCAGTAGTCCTGGCTCCCAAGGGGATTTCCTGCTACCAGCAGCAGCTGCACATCTCATCCAGGGCCCTGCAGATTGGACCTTCTCCAGGAAGCCTTCCTGGGCCCTCACTCACTGGCAGCATGTTTGTTTAACAATAAGGAAGTTGGATGCTTACTCTGGCCAGGCACTGTGCTAACCCCTTTATATGCATTAGCTTACTGAATCCTTCCAACAACCCAACTAGGTAAATACTATTCTTTTTTTTTTTTTTTAAGATTTTATTTATTTATCTTTAGAGGGGAAAGGAAGGAGAGAGGGAGAGAAACATCAATGTATGGTTGCCTTTCTTGCATCCCCTGCTGGGTACTGGCCTGCAACCCAGGCATGTGCCCTGACTGGGAATCAAACCGCGATTGTCTGGTTCACAGGCCTGCGCTCAATCCACTGAGCTACACCAGCCAGGGCCCCTATTCTATTCCTTTTTAAAAACATATATATATATTGTTTACTTATTTATTTTTAGAGAGAGGGTAAGGGAAGGAGAAAGAGAGGGAGAGAAACATCAGTGTGTGGTTGCCTCTCATGTGTCCTCTACTGGGGACCTGACCTGCAACCCAGGCATATGCCCTGATTGGGAATCAAACTGGCGACCCTTTGCTTCACAGGCCCGTGCTCAATCCACTGAGCTGCACCAGCCAGGGCCTATTTTATTCTTATAGATGGAGAAACTGAGGCTCAAAGAGGTACAGTGGCTTGCTCACACAGTAAGAAAGTAATGGGAACTGATTTCAAACCCTTATATTTAACCACTAGAATCTACCCTATATCACAGACGACTTTAGAACATTTTTTATGGCTCTGTCTACCCTGGCTCTGTCTACCCAAACAGTAGGACTAAACACAGAGCCAAAATCTTGGTGTTTTTTGTGTCTGCTGCTGACAGATTGCACTGAGCCCTTCTTCTTATCAAAAACCCTCAGGTATCTTTGTCTCTCAGTCTGAGAAGTCCAGGTGGCCTTGGAACCACCCCTTACCCCTCTAGCATGTCTTCCCTAGGAGGTGGGGTGAAGCCCTTTACCTCTGAGCTCCTTAGGGCATGTTATTTTCCTTGAGCCCCCACCAAAGCTGTGGCTGCCGGCCTTTCAGCTTCCCACTCCACTGCAGAGAGGTGATCTGCATTGATGAGAGCAGCAGCAGTGGGAGGCAGCTAGCTCATCACTTCCCTGGAGGCCTCCTGGGCTCACGGAGCCCAGAAGAAAGCACAGGCACTGAAGTGTGGGAAGGAGGATGAGACCTGAGCCAGATGAAGAAGGGGAATGAGTCCAGTGGGAGAAGACTGGGGGAAGGAGAGAAATTTGAGGGAGGTAGTGAGGTAGTAGAAGCAGAGCAGGGGACTGCTCATTCATTCATTCATTTAACGAACTGTTTCAACCACCTATGATGTCCTAGGCACTGTTCTAGTAGACAGAACAAAGACCCTGCTTTAACACGGCAGCATGGGAATATCGGCAATAAACAGAATCATAATATGTTGAACAAAAAACCTTTGTGGCCAGAAGCTTTCCTAAAAGAAAGGGTTTATTGAGCCACACGCTAGCCATAAAAAGGACTACATCCTGGAACATCCACAGTCTAAACCATCTGTAGCAGGGCTAGACAGAGAAGAACGTGCCCTCGGTTCTTCTGGAGCTGGGGGTGGAAGATCCTTTTTATACAACGGGTTTGGGGAAGAAAGATATAAGTTGTTCTGAAAGAACTTACACTGCCTATATTTAAAGAGGGGTTCTGGTCCTGGCTGGCGTAGCTCAGTGGATAGAGCACGGGCTGCGAACCAAAGGGTCGCAGGTTCGGTTCCCTGTCAGGGCACATTCCTGGGTTGCAGGCCAGTGCCCCAGTGGGGGCCACATGAGAGGCAACCATACATTGGTGTTTCTCTCCCTCTCTTTCTCCCTCCCTTCCCCCCTCTAAAAATAAATAAATAAAAATCTTTAAAAAATAAAATAAAGAGGGATTCTGGGTTGGTTTGAGGCAACAAGCCAAAGAGCTCACGTGTAAACTGGATGTGGTGGCGGCCTGTGGTTCACTATTCTTTTTGATAGCCCCTGAAGTTCACTGCAAGTTGTAACATACGTTCAGGAATGTGCACATTCCTTAGTTTTGGCCTGTGGCTCTGTTAACTGACTAACCTCTTACCTCTCTCCTCCAACCCTCTAGCCTGCTGTAAATTAATTCAGGATAACTCAGCATTTTTCTCTTGTCAAATGGTTAATATGTTCAGCATTACTATGGTGTCAAGCATATATTTTACCCTCACGACAATCTCAGCATTTGATATTATTAACCCATTTTTACAGATGGTGACGAGGAGACTCAGAGTAACCAAGTGACTGGCCAAGGTTACACAGGATTAGAATAGGGTCCCCAGTCTCCTTTGAGACCGAAGGCAGGACCTCTCAGGCTACTCTGTTAATGACAGACTTGGAAAGTTTGTTCTTGTAAGAAAAATTCAAACATACAGATAACGCTTAGGTTCTCCGTGCCTCTCCCCATTCCTAGCAGTCTCTGCCTCAGGGTGTGTTCCCTGTTCCTACTACATACTGTGTATCCGTGTACATTATTTTTGACATGAGTGGCTTCCCGTACATAGGGTTCTATAGCGTGCATCTTCTCCCTTAATAACATGTCCTGAACACCGTTTCCTGTTGTACATAAAGTTCTACCTGGTTCTAAATGCTGCACACTATTCCATGAGGCGGATGTGCCTAGTTTATTTCTCCCGTGCCCTAAAGAGAGAGTGTTTCCAATTTCCCGCTTTTACAAACAGTGCTGCCATTCAAAACTCATCAAAAAGCTCCATAAACCCTCTTTCCACTGCAGAGTCAGAAAGTTTCTTCCGGAAGGATCCCTGTGCTGAAAACCCCGAAAACACCACCAACTGCTAATCCAACGGTAGCCGCTTACTTTCGGGCAACATCTAGGATTCTCCTTTCCGCCACCTCCCTCCCAGGATTTTTTTCCCGCCGGATTAAAGCAAGTGCTTCAGGTCCTGGCAGCGGGGGTTAAACTAACCCAAAACCTGCAACTTGGAGTCCCAGAAAACAAGCCGGTGTCTTTAAGACGCATTCGTTCCTCTGGGAGTTGTAGTTTTGCTGGCCAACGGAGTTGCCTTCTCCCTTCACCTTCTTTCGGGAACTGAAGACTGATAGCTCTTTCAGAAAGCGCTGTCCTGACTATGTCCGTCTGCCCAAGCTATAGCTGGCAGCTGTTTGTTTTTTTCCGGAGAGGACAAGCTAGGGCAGGCGGAGGGGGTGAAACTACATTTCCCAGGGTGCACCGCAACGGGCCGCGCGGCCGCGCTGCCCGGCAGTGAACGGCTCCCGCAAAGCCCAGTGCTGGGCGGAGGCAGGTACGTACGTCCCCGCGAGTCCTCACTTCCCTCACCTCAGTACCCGGTGGGCGATTGCTGGCCTATCCTTTCCCAGGGGCAGGACCGAGGCAGAGAGTTTCCGAGAACTCGGTTGGAGCTCTTGGGCGCCCATTGGCTGTAGGACGAAGGAGGAGTCTCCAGTTCTGCTACCCTCTTGCCTGGGTCTTTCAGTGGGAGTTCGGAACCTAGGAGCGCTGGGGACAGGCAGGGAATACGGGCCCCAGGGTCTCCTCACCCCAGATGCAGGTGGGGTGCTGAATACCAGCGCTGAGGATTTTGCTTTGAGGCCGGTTTTTCTGCCCCAGTGTGCCTATGGGGGTCTTGTCGCTGTGCACAAATCACAGTCGCCTCACCTTTATCCGCGATTTGCCTTTCCACGTTTTTAATTACTTGAGGTCTTCCGTCTGAAATATTAAATGGAAATTTCAGAAGTAAACAGTGCGTGTTTTAAAATAGTTCGAAGTTCTGAGTAGCCTGATGAAATCTCCCCGGACCTGCTCCCTCCTGCCTGGGGCGGAAATCATCCATTTGTCCCACGTATCCAGGCTGTATATGCTGCCAGTTGATTTGTCACTTAGTGACAAAGATCCACTTTGTCACTAAGATCCACTGTCAGGCATCTCAGTTCAAGTAGCCCTTATTTTACTTGATAGTGGCCCCAAAACGCAAATGCGGTGGTGCTCCGGGATTCAGATATGGCAAAGAGTAGCCAGCTGTCAAGTGCGTCCTTTAAGTGAGAAGATGAAAGCTCTGGATTTAATAAGAGAAAAAAAAATCATATGCTGAGGCTGCTAATGTCTGTGGTAAGAACAAATCTATCAGTGAAGTTGTGAGAAAGGAAAAAAAATCGTGCTAGTTTTGCTGTTGCACTTTGAACTGCAGAAGTCTCCGCCACAGTGCATGAGGAGTGATAAGGGCTTGGTTAAGATGGAAAATGCATTAAATGTGGGTAGAAGACACGAACAGAAAATTCGTTCTGATTGATGGCCACGTGTTGAGCCAGGAAGCATTGAGCCTATATGAAGACTTCAGCAAGGGGTCCCCTGAAAACAGTGACACCAGGCTACTTACTGTAAGTAAGTTGGCAGAGTTGACCAGTTGATTAAGGAGGAAGGATACCACCCAAAACAAATTTTCATAGGTAGATGTGGTTGTTATTATTAATGTCATCCCACTTCATTGCCACCTGTGTGGAGCCTTTTACATATATTTACTCCTTGCGTTCTTTTTTTTTTCAGCCCTACACAGTAGGTTCAGAGTAGTGGTTAAAAAAGGTTGGACTCGGGAACAGAAGAGTCTGGGTTTACATTTGGCTCTGCCACTTGATAGCTGTGTGACCTTGGACATGTGACTTAATCTCTCTGTGCCTAAGTTTCATTTTTTAAAAACCTAAAAAAAATTCTCACCCAAGGATATATTTTAGACAGAGAACAATGGGGGAAGGAGGATGGTAGGGAGGGAGAAAGGGAAAGAGAAGGAGAGAAAGAAACACTGATGAGAGAAGAAACATTGATTGGTTGCCTCCCATTTGCACCCCAACTGGGGATCAAACCCACAACTTAGGGATGTGCCCTGACAGGGAATCTAACCTGCAAACTTTTGGTGTATGGGTTGTGGTTCCAACCAACTGAGCCACCTGGCCAGGGCTGTGCCTCAGTTTCTTCATCACGTATTCTTTAAGATAAAGATAATACTTCTCACATAGTAACTTAGAAGTTCATATGGTGATTTTTCTTTTGAAGATGCCAAAGGGGGATAATATACTCTCTGTGTTGGTTCAGGTTCTTGGAGAAGCTGAGACCAAGATAGGATTAGATTTACTGGGGGAGGGAAAAAGAGGAGGGAGCTGGAGGAAACAGGGAAAGCTGTCAGTCTGCTCCCCGTGAAGGAACACCAGGAGGGAGGGAGGGGCGGGCAGGGAGAGTCTCAGACTGCAGTGAGGTTGTGAGACAGTTTCTGCAGGGTGCGTGGGGAGTCCTGGAGCCAAGACTGCCTGGCAGAGGATCCCCAAATTGCTGGAATGGCTCTGTCTTCGTGTCCCTGCTGTGCTGAGTCATTGGTTGAGGGCAGTTGGTGGGAAGCATGGCCTCCCCGTGAACAAGCTGGGAGCATTGGTCAATTATATTTCCTGGCTCAGGAGGCCCGAGAGGGTTAGGGGTGCCAAAGGTCCCACAGTAAGGTGGTGGCCAGGCTGGACTCCCTCGAGGCTTCTTTACTGGGAAGGCCCTCGGGGTATCCTGGGGAATGCCTTTGTCCTCAGATGTCTAGCCAAGATCTCAAGCTCAGATTTCCCCTCTGGATTTCCCACCTGGGCTGAGCAGGGAACAGAGCAGTTTCTGTTACTGGTGGAGGCTTTCCTTGAAAGCTCCTGGCAGTGTAGGTGTTGCCTGTCAACCTGAACCCCAGGACTGGTGGCAGAGGCATCTGGCCCAAGGTTTCCTGATGACTTTGGCTGGGGCTTGGGCAGGACATGTGTTCTGGGCACCTGTAGGAAGGCAGGCAGCCAGCCAGCTCCACAGTCTCTCTGACACTGAGCTTTGGGGGCTGGAGGGAAGAGGTGGGCTGGGCCACTTTGTAGGACAGCAGCTGGGACTTTGCCAGAGGTAGAAGTCAGGGCACTCCTGGGGACTTGTCTGTGGAGGTGTTGGGCGGGAATGCCCTGGAGTCAGATTGGTTTTCCATCTGGCAGGAGAGAAGTGTTGGGGAGGGTAGCTTTGGCCTCCTCTTCCCCTCGCTTGCTCAGGGTGCCCTGGAGGAAGGTGGATGGCAGGTGGGGCTGCAGCCTCTTTTAGGCTTGGAGCCTCAATGAGGGGAGATCCCCTCTGAGGTCCTTAGAGTGGGTGCTGTTGGCACCCTGGCTGGATCCCTTGAACAGGCTGGTATACCCCTCCCACAACTGCCCCCTTCTCCAGGGAACTCCCTTCCTCCTCAGGAGCCTGGGAGGTTACACCTTCCCTCCTCCCAGGTCACAGCCAATGAACTGAGTGATGAGGGGCTGGTGGTACGGAAAGGGCAGTCCCTGCTTTAAGGTGGGACCCACTGACTACCCCACCCTGCTCCTTTTACTTTCTTTCCTGAGGAAATCACACGCACCCAGATGAGAAAGTCAAAGATATGTTCATCATGTGACATAGCAATCCCACAGCGAGGTACCCACCAGGGGAGATTAAGTCTTCTGTTCACCCTGCATTTGCCCATGAATGTTACAGCAGCTCTATTCTTGGCTGTCAAAGCCCGGAAACAGCTGAGTGTCCGTCAGTGCATGGTTGGAGAAACAGACTTTGGAAGGTCCATGCAATGGAATACTGCTGGCCCCCCCAAAAAAAGAAAAAAGAAAAAGAAAAGAAAGAACTACTGATATGCACAGCCACCTTGGATGAATCTTAGGGGCATTATGTTGAGTGAAAGAAGCCAGTCTCAGAAGATTATGGCCCTACTTGAGCTGTGAAGAGCTGATCGGTGGTTGTCGGGGGTGAGGGATGCGGAAGGCGTGACTGTAGGTGTGACTGTAAAGGGGTAGCATACGGGAATTTTTTTGGGTGCAGATGGTGGTGACCATGGGAATCTATGCATGTATTAAATTTCATAAAACCGTATGCCAAAAAATCAATTTTAGGGTATGATAATTCATGTACACCCCTGTCTCTGCCTCAGGAAGCCTTTCAATTTTGTCCAGAATGGAGCAGCCCAAAGGGGTTGATTGGACGGTTATCATCCTTACATGCCAGTACAAGGACAGCGTTGAGGTCTTCCAGAGAGGTAGGGGGTCCTCCCTCCCCACTCGGCCCAAACTCCTACCACACCCCTATGGCTGCACGAGTCAGGCAGTCCTGGGTTCAAATGCAGGGGATGCTTCTTCCTAGCCGTGTGACCCTTAGTATATAGACACATCATGTCACTTCATTGAGACTTAGTTTTCTCATCTGTAAAATGGAAATAATTGTGTTTACCTCACAGAGTTGGGTAAAGCTCTAATGAACTACTACATGAAAAGCTACTGAGATAAAATAATAATGATCAGTAGGTTGGCTTTAGGTGCTTGGGACCAGGGCTGGGAGGCTGGGGGCAGGTCCCAGCCATGTTCTGACCACAGAGCTGGAAGTGCGCCAGAAACGAGAGCAGATCCCTGCAGGGACATTGGTGCTGGCTGTGGAGGACCCCGAGACTCGTGTGGGCAGTGGAGGAGCCACCCTCAATGCCCTGCTGGTGGCTGCTGAGCACCTGAGTGCCCGGGCAGGCTTCACTGTGAGTGCTTCTATTGTTTCTTTGGCACCTGAGTGGATCTGTGTTGGGGTCTCTCCCCAGGCAAGGGGGTGCCATCCTTGGGTGCCTTCTGCCCAGGCCTCTGTCAACAGGGCTTTTTCACTCTTGACAGGTGGTCACATCTGATGTCCTACACTCAGCCTGGATCCTCATCCTGCACACAGTGAGTAAAACTGGGCAAGGTGCCGTGCAGAAGGCCGGCACCATTGATCCTCGGGGCTGGACAGCACTTACAGGGGCTGTTTGCAAGGTGTTCATTGTGCAAATCCAGAAGAATCGGAATCAGAATTGATCCAGCTGTCCAAAAATAGGGAACTGGCTAAATATAAACAGCATATTCTCCTGGCAGAATATTAGAGAGTGATTAATAGGCCCATCTAATTCTGTGGGTTGCCTGGAAAGAGACTCAGCAGCTCTGTGATGGGCAAGTCGCCTGACCCTTCCCGGGCCTCAGTTTCCGCATTTGTAAAGTGAGGATGATGACAACACACAGCACCTACTTCTGGTGGATATGCTGAGATGCTCCATTAAATGCCTAAGACGGGCCTGGCTTTATGTAGTTCCCAGTTTTACCTGCATGTGTGTTAACTTCCCTTGTATCTACCTTTTCAGAATCTCATTTTTAAGAAACATGTTATTTATTAATTTTTAGAAAGAGATGAGGGAGGGAGAAAGAGAAGGAGAGAAACACCAATGTGTGGTTGCCACTTGAGTGCCCCCTACTGGGGACCTGGCCTGCAACCCAGGCATGTGCAACCCAACTGGGGAGTGAACCAGAGGCCCTTTGGTTCACAGGCTGGCACTCAATCCACTGAACCACACCAGCCAGGGCAGAATCTCATTTTTATTTATTTATTTATTTCATTTTTAAAAAATGAAAAAAAAAATTAAAGAATCTCTGAATACATCTGAAAGGATACACCTCAAAATGAGGGGAATGGTTATTATTCCTGAGGGGTGGTTGTTCTTTTTGCCTATCTGCATTTTCTAACTACTGTAATCATGTAATTGAAAAAACTTACACAAGAAAACACTTTTTAAAAGTCCTCTAGCTTGATGACTTCCACCTTGCACAGCCCAGGGGTGTCCCCAGGTCCTCTGTCCCAAGGGCTCTTTCACCTGTCCCTGCTTCCCCCCAAGGGCCGAGACTTCCCCTTCGATGACTGCGGCCAGGCCTTCATCTGCCTCCCTGTGGAGAACCCGCAGGCCCCCGTGGAGGCTGTGGTCTGCAACCTGGACCGCTTGCTGGACATCATGAGCTACCAGGTGAGGCCAGCGTGCCTTGGGGCCTTGTCCCTCTCTTACCTCACCGCCAGCTGTAGTCTGTCCTGAGTCAGATGGGATGCCAGGAAGAACAGCTTTGGGGTGTGCCTAGAGTTAGAGCTTCAGGAAATTAGTGTTGGCAGAACTGGGGGAGGTGTGGCCCCAGGAGGTGGGCAGGAGGGTCTGGGGAGACCCCTGTTACTTCAGCAGCCAGAGTCTCCCTAGAGCATGGGGACAGGCTCTTGAGGCTGTGGCTGCAGAGGAAGGGCTGGGCCAGGCCACCAGCTGCACTCTTTCTCCCACAGCTGGGCCCAGGCTCCCCGCCAGGTGTGTGGGTCTGCAGCACGGACATGCTGCTGTCTGTTCCTCTCAACCCAGGTGAGCCTGAGGAGGCTTGGGACCAGCTCCATGGCCACAGCTGGAGGTGGTCTATGCTTTTCCTGGCTCACCATTTCTGGGCCCCGCCCACTGCTAAGTTCAGAAGGGAAGCTGTAGGGTGTGGAGGGTGAAGTACAGACCTGGAGGCAGGGCTTCCCTTGCTGGGTCTCAGTCTCCCAGACTGAGAATGGAGACACCACTCCTGCCCCTTTTGCTCCCAAAGGGCTGGGGCAGAACTTTGGGAGGGGAGGCATTGTCATTCTCCCAGAGGAACGTCCATGTGGCTTGGAAACCATATTTTCCTTTTAGAGGTGCCCAGATGCCCCTCCCATGAGCTCTTGTTTTTATCTGGCTGGGCACTCCCTGCCTTGGGGTTGGGTTCCAGGGAGCCTTTCCTCTGTCCCACCCACAGGGATCAGCTGGGATGGCTTCCGGGGAGCCAGAGTGATCGCCTTTCCAGGGAGCGTGGCCTATGCCCGGAACCACGGTGTCTACCTCACTGATCCCCAGGTAGTGCCCCTGGGGCAGGGGAGCAGGCAGCTGAGCGGGCCTTCAGTGGCCTCTAGGTCATGTGCTTTGGGCAGCCTCTTGCCCTGGACTTTCTGGTACAGTCTGGATTTGGAGGACTTTCCTCCGTGGCAACAATGCTTGTGCTTACTTAGTCTTGTGCCAAACTTGAATTACACATGGCCCCGTGCCCGGCTCTGAACTTGGGCTGGGGCTGTGAAGACACACAGAGCCTTCTGTTGTCAGGGTGGGACAGTGCGCGGGCACCTGCCAGACACGCATCCTAGGCTTCATTTGGAGAACACCCTTGCCGTGTCTCTGTTCCTGATCGTCCCCTGCTCCCTTCCCTAACTGTTTTCTCCCGACACAGGGCTTCGTGTTAGACATTTACTATCGGGGCACTGAGGCGGAGGTACAACGGTGCGCCAGGCCTGATGGGCGGGTGCCGCTGGTATGGCTCTGGGGACCCTGGGGAAAGGGAGGGTTTTGCCTTCACTCTTGGGGCAGAGCCCCGTTCCTTCTAGAAGATTTCAGGGCAGGATGGAACCAGAATCTGTGGTGGAGGACCAGGTGGAGCCAGAATCTGAGGAAAGGGGCTTGTCCTGAACTGGAAGGGCTAGAACCAGAATGTGAGCCAGTTCAGGAATGCAGTTGGAAGGCAGTATGGAGCCCGACTCGGGGATTGTTCTAGAATGAAGGACAAGGATAAGAGTGGTAGTTAAGGGTCTGGGACCAGCCCACAGGGGTAATGGAGAACTAGGTTTTGGAGGAGGCCTTAAGATTGGAGGGGGTTCCAGAAGGTGCCTTTTCGGGGGACTCACTCCTGGTAGACCTGGAATCCGGAGACTGGAGTGGCCCAGAAGATGAAGGACCTTGCCCGGTATGGCGACCAGCCCGGCCTGGCCCATCTTCATGTGTCTTTCCCAACTCTGGCCCAAGCCTGGCCCCAGCGTCCCCCGGCCTGATCCTCATGGGGGCTCCTCCAGGTCTCCGGGGTTGCCTTTTTCTCTGTGGAGACTGCTGAGCACCTCCTTGCCACCCACGTGAGCTCGCCCCTGGACGCCTGCACCTACATGGGTTTGGACTCTGGAGCCCGGCCTGTCCAGGTGACTGGGGGTGGGGGCTGCAGGCCCTGGTCTGGGGGAGAGGCCCCGATACTGGCAACCTGGCTGTGTGACCTCAGGCTAGCCCCTTCCCCTCTCAGGGTTCACGTCTCCAGGGATGGGGCTGCCATAGTTCACCCAGGAGCCCCCTAATAGCTGTGCTTCCTACCCTTGCCCCAGCTATCTCTGTTTTTCGACATTCTGCTGTGCATGGCCCGGAATGTGAACAGAGAAGACTTCCTGGTGGGACGGCCCCCAGAGATGGGGCAAGGCGACGCGGACGTCGCAGGCTATCTTCATGGTGCCCGGGCTGAGCTGTGGAGGCAACTTCGTGGTCAGCCCCTCACGATGGGTGGGTACTGCCCCTCAGATCTCTGGGGTGGGGAGACCGCAGGAGTGAGGACCTGCAGAATGAGGCTGCCTCCTGCCTGGTCCCTGGGCTCCTGGACCAGGCAGGCCCAGGCAGTTCCCCTCTCCCAACCCAGAGCCTTGACACTGCCTGCTCCCCAAAGACAACTCTCCTCCTTTTGTCTCATTCCTGGGCTCCAGTCCCAGTCTTTCCATTTTCTAGCTGTGTGACTTTAGGAAGGTTGCTGAACTCTCTGGATTTTAGCTTTCCCATTGGGCACTATGGGTTCATTGCTGTGCCTGTCCTCCCAGGACTGATGAAGGCCTGGCGTCAGAGCAGCTGCAGGCATAGGGTTGGGGTCAGTGCTTGTATCTTTACAGCATATATCCCTGACGGCAGCTACAGCTACATGACGAACTCGGCCAGCGAGTTCCTGCGTAGCCTCACATTCCCTGGAGCTCCGAGGGCCCAGGTTGCCCACTCTCAAGTAGAGGTAAGACGTGCCTGGAGGTTAGACCAGCTAGGACGGGTGGGACAGGTGCTCCTAGGACGGAAAGGACTAGACCATGCTTGGAACAGACTACCTATGAATGTAGGTATTATTAACCCCATCTGAAAGGAGGTAGTGGCAGCTCAGATAAGTAACTTGCCTGAGGCCACAGAGCCAGTAAGTGGTCAAGTCAGGATTCTACATCCAAGGCTCTTCCCTGCCTCTGAGAAGCTAGAGAAGACCCTACACCCTTCCCTTGGGGTCTGCTTGGGGAAGCACACATTTGAGGTGATGGGCCTGGGTCAGTGCCATGGTGCTGAGGAAGGGGGCAGATAGAGTTCAGAGGTGGCCCTCTGAGTGGTGGGGGTCCCTGGACTGGGGGCAGAGGTTTCCTGGGGGAACTGTCATCTGGTGGGACGACCTCCATTACTGAGTTCAGATTTGCTCTAGAGATTTGCTCACAGCCAAATAATTTTAGGACTGTATAAATGTAACTACTCCTTAACTGTTAAGGAGTTGAAATTACATTTGGACCTTTGAAGGCAACCTCGAAGCTGATGTGGCCCCTGGTGGAAATGAGTTTGACACCCCTGCTCTAGAGGGTTGCAGGGAGAGCAGAGAGTGGGCCTGTGGGGGAACAGGGTGAACAGGGCAAGACGGGAGCCGGCCCGAGGCTGGGGCCGGGGCATGTGTAGAAAGGGGTCTGGCTCCTGATGGGTGTGGGCTGGGACCTTGGCTGTGGGGGAGAGTTGGGGTAGCCCCTGGCCCTGGGCCCTCACGAGCTTCTCCCTGGCTTCACAGGATCCAAAGCTCCTGGAGGCTGGGAGCTCCGTGATCAGCTGTCTGCTGGAGGGCCCTGTCCAGCTGGGCCCTGGAAGTGTTCTGCAGCACTGCCATCTCCGGGTAAGGCCTAGGAGCAGGGACAGAGGGAGGGCAAGGCTGTGGGGGGTCAGGTCCTGTGTATGTTGGGGGTTGCCTGGAGCTGTACCGCCCACTCAGGATGCCTGCCCTCTCTCCTGCCAGGGCCCTATTCACATCGGCACCGGTTGCTTCCTGAGTGGCCTAGACACAACTCAGTCTGAGGCACTACATGGCGTGGAGCTGCATGACCTTGTCCTGCAGGGGCATCACTTGCGGCTGCACGGCACCCCTGTCCGTGCCTTCACCCTTGTTGGCCGTCTGGACAGCTGGGAAGTAGGTGCCAACCCCTGTGTTCCCTCACCCCAACTTCAGGCTTTGGGGAGCCCCGGGATCCCAGCTCAGCTCCCACTCCACAGCAGGGCTCGCTGAGCACTGGCCCGAGGAATAGGCTGTATCCAGTCGAGTGTCACCGAGTCTTTATCTGCCCCCTCGTCTGCTCTGGCAGGTAGTCTGACCAGGAATTTTTAATTCTCCCACCTTACAGGCCAGAGACTGAGGTTCAGAGAGGGAGGTGAGCAGCCTTGGCAGCAGAGCCAGATATAGTGGGTTGGGCCTAGACCTGGGATTCTGCGCCAGGTTCCAGGCACCTAGCCTGGAGTGCTGAGGCTCCGGGGCTTGCCACAGTGTTTCAGAACTTGCTCTCATATGTGCAAGTCTCTCCTCCTGTCCCTTCTTGAGCGGCTCCCAGCCCTCTGGCCTTAGTGTCCCTAACCTCTTCCCATGGCCTCTGAAGCCCTGACTGCTTCCTCTTCTTTCCCCAGAGGCAGGGGACAGGGAGGTATCTCAACATGTCCTGGAGTGAATTCTTCCAGAAGACAGGCATTCGGTGAGATGGATGGCCTCCATGGGCTCCGTGGGCCTTGGCAGCCAGTGCGGCTGCTTCTTTGAGGCTTCTTCCTGCCTCCACCCCAGAGCAGCATCTACCCTCCCAGCAGCCCAGGAAACTGGGGTAGTTTTGGGCAGCCTGATCCTCCCCAGCACCTTCCCCTTGGACAACTCCTAATCCCTGGCTGTGCTCAGGTTTTGTGATTTTGTTCAGAGGCCTGGGAAAGGAGGCAGGGTGGTTTGCCTCCCTCCCTAAACTGCCTGCTTGTACCCCCTGGAAGAATTTGTCCTGCCCTTGGTGAATTAGCCAGCCCCCAGTTGACAGGCGGTTAGGGCCTGGTGAGGAAGCAGGAGTTCTGCTTCCATCCTGCTAACGTGCCTTCTCCCCATGCCAGAAACTGGGACCTGTGGGACCCAGACACACCCCCCACAGAGCGTTGCCTTCCCAGTGCCCGCCTCTTTCCTGTGCTCCACCTATCAAGGGCTCTGGGGCCCCGGGACATGCTGTGGATGTTAGACCCCCAGGAGGATGGGGGTGAGGCCCTGTGGGCCTGGAGGACCTCCTGGCGCCTGTCCTGGGAGCAGCTGCAGCCGTGTCTGGACCGGGCTGCCACACTGGCCTCCCGCCGGGACCTGTTCTTCCACCAGGCCCTGCATAAGGCGCGCAATGTGCTAGAGGCCCAGCAGGACCTCAGCCTGCGCCCGCTGATCTGGGCCGCTGTCCATGAGGGCTGTCCTGCGCCCTTGCTGGCCACGCTGGACCAGGGTGAGTATTCTGGATCTCTGTGCTGAGAAGTCAGACCCAGCACCACCTGCCCTCTGGATTGATGACCTGAGGGTCGTAGGGAGCCATGAGACTTCAAAGCATGGAAGAGACACAGTGGAGCTTGCTTTTAGGTTTCTGGGAAGCTTCATTCTTATTAGTGGGGAGTTTTTGGCGAAAGGCTGAGGCCTGGTCCTAAGCCTCTGAGTCCTGTGAGCACCAGCAGTATTGGGTGCCGAGATGTAGGTGTCAGAGCCCCAGGGGGATGTGGCCGGCTCTACCTGAGGGCTCAGGCAGCACCTCATTAATGGTCCCAGTTACTGGGAAATCATCCCTATTGAAGTTGTTCTCCTATAGCCATGCAGCTAGCTGGGGGTGGGGCTCAGCTTGACGCCTGACTTTGACCCCCGAGTCTGAGATCTTAACCACTCTGGGCGTCTTGGGTGGTGGTAAAGAGGCACAGCTGAGCTGGGCTGGGGCTAGCAGGGTGAGCAGAGAAGTGGGGCGTGCATTTGCAGGTAAGGATACATCTTGGGCAAAAGTGAAGATATGTGAGGATCTGCAGTGTCTGGGGACTGCTGCATAGTCTCTCGGGAACAGGGCATTGGGGGCAAGTCCCATCCCCAACCACCCCTGGCTTCTGGTCCCTCAGTTGCAGCTGGCGCAGGAGACCCAGGCGTGGTAGCCCGAGCACTGGCCTGTGTGGCAGATGTACTGGGCTGCATGGCAGAAGGCCAAGGTGGCTTACGGAGTGGGCCCGCTGCCAATCCCGAGTGGATTCGGCCCCTCTCGTACCTGGAGTGTGGAGACCTGGCTGAGGGTGTGAAGGCACTTGCCCAGGAGCGTGAAAAGTGGCTGAGCAGGTGGGTGCTAATGATGTCAGAGCTCCTGGAGAAGCCCATGGTAATTCTTGCAGGTGGAAACCCAGAGAGAGGTGGGGTGGGGTGACCTTAGATCACCCAAGGCAGGCAGGTCCCCAAACCCAGGCGGTCTGTCTCCAGCCCGGGGCTCCCTGCCGATACCTCTTCCTTCCCTCTCGGCAGACCAGCCTTGCTAGTGCGAGCTGCTCGCCACTACGAGGGGGCCCAGCAGATCCTGATCCGCCAGGCTGTGATGTCAGCCCAGCACTTTGTCTCCACACAACCGGTGGAGCTGCCGGCACCTGGGCAGTGGGTGGTGGCTGAGTGCCCAGCTCGAGTGGATTTCTCTGGTGAGCCCCTTGGAGCGGGGTGAGGGTAGCCAGCCCTGGAGCTGGGCTCTTAGCCCCATGACCAGCTTGGTCTCGTCAACTGCTGCAGGAGGATGGAGCGACACGCCACCCCTCGCCTATGAGCTTGGTGGGGCAGTGCTGGGCCTGGCTGTGCGAGTGGACGGCCGCCGGCCCATTGGCGCCAGGGCTCGCCGCATCTCAGAGCCTGAGCTGTGGCTGGCAGCAGGGTCTCGGCAGGATGGGATGACTGTGAAGGTTGTGTGCCGGAGCCTGGAGGACCTGCAGGACTACTGCCAGCCCCAGGCTGCAGGTCAGGGTACCAGGACATCTGCCAGTAGGGATGGCACACACAGCTAGCTGGGGGGTGGGGGAAGAGCCCTGGAGATCCTGCTGGCCATGGGGTCCTGGCCTGAGGGTTAGAGTCAGTCTGGTTGAGGAGCCCTAAGGTCACCTTGCCCAGGTGCACGCAGGTGCAGGAGGTAGAACTGGCACATTTGCCCATGTTGGGGAACCCAGGGGTCTTTTTGTGGCTTGGGGGTGGGGCCTGCACTGCTGCTGGGCTTTTGTTCCCCCAGATGAACCCCATGCTGGGCTGCGAAATAGTGGAAGTGAGGCGGTATGTCTCCTTCTATCTTCGGAGACCAAATTCCTTGCTGGGTGCTGATCTTTCTGCAGGGGCCCTGCTGAAGGCAGCCTGTATCTGTGCGGGGATCGTGTATGTCCACTCCAAGCTCTCGCTGAGTGAGCAGTTACTGTGCACTTTTGGGGGTGGCTTCGAGCTGCACACCTGGTCTGAGCTGCCCCATGGCTCTGGCCTTGGTGAGTGGGCCCCGTGCCCGTTGCCTACCACTCCATGCCTACCCTCTAGCCTCACCTTGCATCCTCCTCACTGCCTCTGCCACGTGTGGGGCAGGGCTGTTTCATACCTGACCCTCTCCTCCCTGCGGTGCAGGCACCAGCAGTATCTTGGCGGGCACCGCCCTGGCCGCCTTGCAGCGGGCGGCAGGCCGAATGGTGAGCACGGAGGCCCTGATCCACGCGGTGCTGCACCTGGAGCAGATGCTCACCACAGGTACGGGACTGTCCCTGGCCGGACGGCAGTCACTGGCACACTCCCAAGAGCTTCCAGGAGCTCCTTGGGCTTGCAGACAGCCACATAACTGTGCTGTTCCTTCAGGTGGTCAGAGCCTCCTTATTACCTTTTCTGGTGGTTTTCAGTTTGAAATGTTTCTACCGCAAAGAAACGGACATTTTAGCAGCAGCTACTAAGTGTCAGATTGTGTGCTGTACTTTTCATGTGTGTTAGGTATTTGTGTTTACATGTTTACTCCTCATGACTTTGTTGCCATCCAGGACTGTCTCTCAGGGCGGAGCTGGGGAGAACTAGGGTCTGGAGTAGGGGACAGGACCTTCAGTCGACCTTTCCAGCCAAGTTGCCCCTTCATCTGTGCCCACCTCCCCTTCCCACCTGCTATATGCGGGGGCACTATGGGCCCCGAACATGGCTGTGCTCACAGCGGGGGTGTTACTGGCACCAGGCTTTACCCCCCTCTCCCCACCATGGCCCCTTGGACTCCATGCACAATGGGGAGCAGCCAGTTTTGTCTGATCTTAGGATGCTGTGGCCACCCAGGATGCCAGGCTTCATCTGCACTGGGATTCTGGGCAGGAAACTGTCACAAAGACATACAGGTGCAGATTATGCTCTTTTCTGGTCACTTTACAGCCCACCCTCCTCCCCCTTTTATTGTAATGACTCACACCCCTTAATAGGTAGTTATTAGCAAGAGGGGCGGATAGGGAGGCCTTTCCAGTTTTCTTCTGAGATGTATGTACCGTTCAAATTCTTCATTCGGTCAACTGACAGCTATTGAGTATCCACTCAGCATTGGGTGCTGGGGATAAAATGAGCAAAAACAGGGCCCTTGCTCTCAAAAGTAATATGGTCCATTGGGGACAGACATTAGTCAATAACTACTCGAATGCAGAATTACAAGCTGTGCTTGGTGCTTTGAAGGAGAGGGGTGCGATCAGGGAGCTGACATTTGGGGCCATTAAACACCATGTTTTGGCTATAAAGTTCCAGATGCCTCCTGCCATTTGCACTCGATATTGCATTTTATATATACTTTAAACCACAGGTGGCAAACACAAGGCCCGTGGGCCGAATCCGGCCCTCCACTTTGTTTTATCCAGCCTTGTGCCGTGTTTCTACCCGGCGGCAGCGCTGAGCTCCTTGCCCCTAGTTAAGGAGTAGTTAACATTTATACAGTTCTAAAAATCACATTTGGCCCTTTGAAGGCAACCGCAAGGCTGATGTGGCCCCTGGTGAAAATGCGTTTGATACCCCTGCTTTAAACTCTTGTAGGCCCTTCCCCAGATATTAAGGGTCTGTCTCAAAATGATCTCAAGTTTTATTTTTTACAGAGCTGTAAGAGAAAAAGAGGCCCATACCTTTCATTCCTAAAGCAAGATATGAACAAACTCTTTCATTTGAAAAGCTGGACTGAAAGCTTACTTCCAGAAATGATAGGGTACAGGGTCAATTAGGCTGCAGGAAAAGTCCTCTATCACCTCTCCCTGGAAGAGAGGTGAGGGCAAGGTCTTACCCTTCGATGGGGTTTACCTCAGCTCCAACTACGCACGAGGTCTGCAGTAAAACTTGGCCTTGTGCAACCCAAGATTGGTTCTGGAATGAAATCCCTTCTCTTGTCGCGCTCATCCTGCTCACTTGGCCCAGCTCGAGTTGGGGGAAGTTGTCTTTCCACACTGGTCCCTGCCGGGGAGGCAGGGGGCCAGGAGCCCGGGCTGGGAGAAGGAGGTTGGGTCAGACAGGCTCCAAGAGTGATGGACCCTGGGCTCACAGGAGGTGGCTGGCAGGACCAAGTGGGTGGCCTAATGCCTGGCATCAAGGTGGGGCGTTCCCGGGCTCAGCTACCATTGAAGGTTGAGGTGGAAGAGATCACTGTGCCTGAGGGCTTTGTCCAGACACTCAATGACCACTTGCTCCTGGTGTACACTGGCAAGACCCGCCTGGCTCGCAACCTGCTGCAGGTGAGCCCCAGCCCCAGGAGGAGGAAGGGAGGCAGAAGGCTCAGCACAGCCCAGATCCTCATTGCACCCCTACTGCCCCATCTGCAGGATGTGCTGAGGAGCTGGTATGCCCGGCTACCTGCCGTTGTGCAGAACGCTCACAGCCTAGTGCGGCACACGGAGGAGTGCGTGGAAGCCTTCCACCAAGGTGAGATGCTTCTTCCACCACAGTGAGGGGCTCCTTTCCCGAGGGCAGGGCACCAGGAGTGAGTGCCTTGTCACTCATGGGTCTGAGACCAGGGGGCTTTGCAGGCTTGGCCCAGGCCCTAGGTGTTAGGCCCCTGGGGACAGGAGCCTACCATCTGTCTTCCCTAGGGTCTCACTTAGGTGGGAGCCCTATCTCAGGACAATACTTGCATCATGGGGGAGGCCTCTTGATAGCTCTACCTATCAAGAAGCAGGAAGAGGTCTGGCCCCATAACCAAGTGCCAGTCGGAGCTAAGCAGGGTTCCAAGAGAGTGGCTGCAGTTTACTGAACACTGCTGAGCACCACGTCAGCTGCTCTGTGCACATTAGCCCTTGGACAGCCCTGTGAGGTGGTCTTCATTACTCCTGTTTCCAGCCCCTGGTTAAGCAGTACCTCTTGGCACTTTGTCATCAACAAACGGGCACTGACAGAATATTCTGGCTTGGGCCTGCCGCTCCCCTCTCTGCCCCCACCCCAGGAAGCCTGCCTCTGCTGGGCCAGTGCCTGACCTTGTATTGGGAGCAAAAGAAGCTCATGGCTCCAGGCTGTGAGCCCCTGGTCGTGCGAAGAATGATGGATGTCCTGGCCCCCTACGTGCATGGCCAGAGCCTGGCAGGGGCAGGTGGTGGGGGCTTTCTCTACCTGTTGACCAAGGAGCCAAGGCAAAAGGAGGCTCTGGAGGCTGTTCTGGCCAAGACTGAGGTACCTGATGGTGTTGGGTATGGGAGCTGGTGAGGGGTGGGAGCCTTCACTGTGACCAGAGATTTGCCCAGGTCCTCTAAACACCTCTTGTCCTTTGTTCCCAGGGCCTCGGGAACTACAGCATCCACTTGGTAGAAGTAGACATGCAGGGCTTGAGCCTGCAGCTGTTGGGGAGTGAGGCCTCAACCTGATACCCCTTCCCATGAGGCCTGTCCCTCTGCAAGAGAAAACGTGGAGCTACAGCAATGCCCTTGCACCCCACTTCAGAGCACTCAGCCTCCTACTCCCCATCTCGTTATGAATCTGCTCCCACAGGAAGCTGACTTGAGTTTGGGCCCAGTCCCTCCTGAAGACTGGTGAAACAGAGACTGTGCTTGGGAACAGGGCTGTGACCTCCTGGTTGACAGTGGCCTAGGCCTGACCTCTGCTTCTGACCTCTGGACAGAAGGTCCTAAGCTCAGTGTCCCTTGTGGCCTTTACAAATGCCATGGCCCAGCTGGAGCCTTGACCGTTTCCCTCTCCACAAGGGCTCTGGAAGAAGGGGATGACAACCTGCCAACCCAGAGCTTACCCAGTAACGTGGACTGTCCCTGGTGACCCAGAGCCTGCAGGCAATAGGTTTTCAGGACCATGATCTTGAATAAAGTCAATCTGCCCTTCAAGGTTGTCCTCATAAAGCTGTTCTATTTCTGCCAGGAGGAATTCTCACCTCCCCTGGCACTGTGGGACACTGCCCTGGGGATGACGCAGATTCTGGTGCTGAGGACCCCAGAGCGGGGGTAGGCTCCGGCATCAGATGAGTCACAATCTATCATGTGGGTCCTGGCAGTAGCTGTGTGCTGCTCTGGGTGTGGCAGGAGGCTGAGGCTTTAGGTGTTAGCTTTCACGTTTCAGTGCAACCGGTAGACCTGCCTTCCCCGTAGTACCCAGCCCTCCCTGAAAACAGCACACTGGCATCTCTCCAAGGAGTCTCCTTTAATCAGAGTGGTCATAAATATCACATCCTCCTCTTGGAGTAAACCTAATTCCCTAGGTTCCCAGATACACCCAAATCCTTTAGGGCCTGCAGGGAGGCAGTCTGTTGGCTGCAGTGTCCAGGGATGAGAGCATGACCACCACGGATAAGGATGGCCTGAGTTGACTTTCCCACCTCATTAGGAGTCCGGGGGACCCACCTCTTGGTGGGGCTGAGTGCTCCCAGAGCACCACTCAGCTAGGTCTGAGTCAAGAGAGTGGAGTTAGTCAATGCCTTATTTCCGTTGCCGGTGGTAGAACGGTCTGGGCTGTTATACCTCTCCTGGTGCCAGAGGGCCTTGCTCATTCCTTGGCTGTGGCCACTTAGGGAATGGGCTCTGAAGTGTAATGGGCCGGGAGAGCTCACCCTGGCAGCTATAGGCGCAGCCTCTTGATATCCTCGCAGCGGAAGTCTATGCGCAGAGCCAGCACCTGGCGTACTTCAGCAGGGGTGAGGCGCCATGTCAGTGGGCCAGAGTTGGCACCCCAGTAATCTAGAATCTCAGTCACCTGTAGGAAGAACAGAGGCAGTCAGCAAGGAGGAGACTATCCTGAAATTCAGAGCTGTGGTGCCCAGGAAGAAGGTTCCAGCAGAGTTGGGCTGCTGGCATTTTGAGGGAGTGATCTGGATCCAAATTTGGTTTATGCCCCTTGCCTCTCTGCCCAGACACCTTTCCCTGGCTAGGCAACGGGGGCCCTGCATACCCGCTCCAGATTGAGGATTGTAGCCATCTGGGAGAGCCGGGCAAACTTGTCTCGGATGGTCCACGTGGTCACCGTGGTAAGGTAGGCAATGAGTGACCTCAGCTCCTTGTCAAACTGCAGACCGCCCAGCTGCAGGGAAACACAAGCCTCATCACTGTTCAAGGCTGGCCCTCTGGCCCAGTAGAACTGGCCCCCAATTTCCGTTAGTGCTGGGCTGCAAGGTCATCAGAGCTTTAGGTGGTTGCAATCAGCTCTAATGCCTCAGAAGCCATGGAAGAACTGGGTCTAGATACGCAGGGCCTGGGAGTAGCAAATAGGGCATGCAAGTGTCAGGACTCAACTTCCACAGAGCAGAAATGACACAGCTAGGGACCGGTGCTCCTTTGACCTTACCCGGTTGAAGGTGGACTTCAGCACCACTCTCTCCAGTTCCGCGGCCACAAAGCTGGTCATGAGGCTGGTCAGATTGTCATAGATGACTGGAGACAGGCTGGCCTACACACAGAGGCTAGACATCAGTGGGATTCTACCCATGCCCCTGCCTACACAGTGGAGTCTTCGGGGGGATAGAGATGGTCACATGAAGCCCCTGGGGAGTGTTTCTACAGACTGGGACTTAGAAGGGCTCTCAGGGTTCCCAGCAGGAGCGTGATGAGGAGCTGTAGGCTGCTGGTTTTGGCAGAAGTGGGTAATTCCATAAGCTGGTCCCCAAAGCCCCTGCTTACCTTGAACTCCACCATTTGCTGTTCCAGGTTAAGGATGAACTGTTGCACCCACGGGTCATTGGCCTCATAGTCGTTGAATTCTTCCTGTTGTTAGGAAGCAAGATGGGTCACAGGGCTTTTCCAAGAACCATTCATCCTCACTCCACTTCCATCCCTCTAACAGAAGAGGTTCTTCCTCCCCTGTAGCTTCTCACTCATCCACCTTAAAATAAGCTTGGACATCTCAGCTGGCAGTGACTGCTGCTGCTTCTGCAGTGCACTTCCCACTGGCAAACAGCCCTGGGCTGTGGCCATGGCCCACACAATATGGGAAAGATTCTGGTCTTTACTTACGCTAGCATCTCATGTTCTGTAAGAATAAAATCCTTAGGTTAAAAAAAAAAAAAGAGCCTCAATAAGCGGACGTATCAGTTCAAGGCAAACTCCCTTTAAATATTTTTCTGGCCCTTCTGACTGTCAGAACAACCTATTTCCTGGGAGGACCCTAGGCTACAAGGGTCTGAGGAAAATGGGCCTGCAAAGCCCTTAAGGACAAGTCTACTTTTTTCATCACCTGTCACCCTTAAACTAATTACTAAAATTCTACAGCACATCAAAAAATTTATTTTTTGCTGATCTGAAAAAATTAGGTAAAATCTTAATTCACTTATACTAGCCACCAATTGCTATGTTAGCTGTTGTCATTTTTTTATTTGATAGTCTAAGGGGAAAGAGGTCAGTGCCCCTGACTAAATAGTCAGATATTGTATGTTTCAAAAATTCTTGCGGCACGCTGGCTGAAAATCACTGGTTTAGACAGTTCCACTGCCCTCCAGCTGGGGGCTCGGGGAACACGGGGGTAATCCTGTGCTTGACGGCTGCTGGTCAGGCTGACCTCCTCAATGTTGTGGGAAACAGAGAGAAAGGTGTTGATCCAAGGCTGCACCTGCGGCTTGACTGCTGTGTTGTTTAGCTCCGTCAGCCCTTCCTGCAAAGGACAAGGTGGAGACGCATCAGACCCACAAAGCACAGCTCTCCATCCCTTTTCTCTCCTACCCCACTCCCCGACTGCCAGGGCATTCTTCCAGATCTGAGACTATCTGCAGGCTGTCTGAAGTGGAACAGAAAATGCTGATAAGAGGCCAAGAACAACCAGTCCTTTCCAGATCTATGCCAATTGAGGTCCAGGTCAGAGATAAGGCCTAGCGGTTGGTGTGTACACTCTCAAAAAAGGAGGCTTCTGAGTGCCCATAGGGGCAGCACCTGTGCCTAAGGCCACGCAGCAGGTCTGTGACACCACATGGTTCCATTCCCTCAGAGCACCTTTCTGAGGGCTCTTGACACAGTGGGGCCACGTAGAGATTCTAAAAACTAGAATGCTGGCCTGTCAATGTGATAACTGCACTGCTGAAAAACCAATGGGGCCTTTAGTCTCAAGGGACTTGCACAATTTCAGTGGCTTGCATGCTACCCCCTCAACCCTCCTGTTTCCTTATATACATAGCCCACAGTAAGCAGTAACACTCTTCTCAGAGCAACACACTGGCACAGGATGCAGCCAGTTGTTCAATCGGGCTTACCTGCAAGAGGTCTCGAAATTTGTTGGACACGGCAGCCAAGTCAGAAAGGCAGCTGTCAAACTTGGCCTGGGCCTGCTCCCCTCCAATGCCCTGGCTGAACAGCTTGGTACAGTCGCTCTAGGGGAGGACACCAGTTTTCAGGCTTCTGTGCATGGGCCACAGGGCAGTAGGGAGGGCAGCAACATGCACCCAGTCATTTCTCCTACTCTGGCCTTCTCTGGTCACAGCTAAGGCGGATCCTAGGCCAGAGCCCTGGGTGACTTTCAGAAACCTGGATTCTGTCCTGGTGGCGAACTACCTGGCTCCCACTTCCCTCTTTGTAATCTGGAGGGACCAATTTAAATTCAAAGGTTTGAATGTAATTGCAAGTCCTTAACAGTTAAGAAGTAGTTACATTTATAGTCCTAAGATTATTTTGGCCCTTTGAAGGCAACCAAGAGGTTGATGTGGCCCCTAGTAAAAATGAGTTTGAAGCCCCTGCTTTGGAACCACTCCTAGATTAAATCCTGGCTCAGCCACCGATTAGCTGAGTGACCTGGTCAAGTGATTTCAAGTTTCTGAAATTCAATTTCGCTGTCTACAAACTCCTGATTCCGTGGTGGTTGGATGAAATGATGCACAAAGTGCTTACTTATATTAGCCCATTGCCTGGCACATAGTAGGAACTAAGGACATGCTAGCTGTTGTTGTAACTTCTTGTTTTAAATACTGTCACCTGGCAGCCCAAGGGAGAGAGAGCATCATGATCACAGGTAAAATTTAACTGCTTACATGTGCCAGACCCTGTTCTAAGCATTTTCTTTCTCTCTTTTTTTTTACAAAGACTTTATTTACTTATTTTTAGAGACAGGGAAGGGGAGTGAGAGGAAGAGAAACATCAGTGTGTGGTTGCTACTTGCGCACCCCCTACTGGGGGCCTGCAACCCAGGCATGTGCCCTGACTGGGAATGAACTGGTTATCCTTTGGTTCACAGGCTGGCACTCAATCTACTGAGCCATATTGGCCAGGGCTAAGCATTTTATTTTCATTAACTAAAGTACCTATCTTATGAAGTGGGTACTATAATTATCCCTCTTCTACAGATGAGGAAACTGGACACAGAGAAGTTAATACCCTAAAGCCACAGAGCAGGAAGTTGTAGAACTGGGATTCAAGGTGGTAATTCCGGCTCCAGAGAGCCTGTTCCTACAGTACACTCTACACTACACTACAACCCAGCTGTCCAGAACTCTGCAGGGGGACTGCATGAAGCCTACCATGTTTGGGCTGCTAGCTGCCCACACTTCTTGTTTCCTCCTTAGAAAGTTTGTGCTTTTGGCTACAGCAGGAGTAGCATTGTGGGAGAGGTGCAAAGGGGCTGCTCTAGCAGGCAGAGGGCCTCCAGTCCTACAGCTGCTCCAGTCTTTATTATCTCTAGCTGTTCAACCCCATCTGTAAAATGGCCATCATGCCAGCTGACCTCATGGGTTGCTGATGGATTAAGAACACATGTGAGAGGCAAATCTAAATGGGGTAGGCATGACCTGAAATAAACTCTACCTGGTAGGATGTATGGGAACTGTTTTTAGCTCTTTGCTATCCCTTTTTCTTTCACTTGGCTAATTCTACCAGCTCAGTTCTGAATTCCTGATATTTCCTAAAATTTTACTTCAAAATCC